TCTGGAACCTTACATGCATGTCATTATGACAATTACATATATCAAGCAATATTAAATCCACCACTCCCACCCATAAATACCACACTAGCAAGCCATAGCATTTATAATAACTTTAACATAATAAATTTTAATATTGGTAGTTTATCATTTGTTTGTACTTTTTGTAATGCATTGCATTTTAAAGATGAAAACTCTTCAATGTGTTGCCAGAATAACCAAGTTATATTACCTCCAATTTCACCCTTACCATTTGATTTACTTTCACTTTACAAGCAAAATAAGAACTCTAATTTTAAAACAAATATTAGACACTACAATAGTGCTCTTGCTTTTGCATCTATGTCTTCTAATATTGATATTGTAAAAGGTCATGGTCCTTATTGCTTTAAAATTCATGGTCAAATATATCATAATATTGTTTCAGCACATCCTTCTGAAGGTCAATATCGAACTTACGGACAACTTTATATGCTTGATACTCTAGAAGCTACAAATATAAGAAAGCAAAACCCTTTTAATTCAAACTTTGAGACAAACTTACTTAAACATCTTGATGTTCTCCTTCGTCATGTTAACCCATATGCTCAAACTTTCAAAATGATGTATGAAATGGAACAAGAAGAAATTCGTTTTGCTACGCTTTCAGGTTATCCTATACGTGGTGTTTACATGTTATTAAAAACTGAAGGAACTGATCCACGACGCTATAATGCTCTACGGACAAATGATGTTGCTGTTGTGTTTGTTAGTGATGATGGAGAACCGCCACATAGTCGTGAAATTTATATATATCCAACTGCAAGCAATTCTAAATGTATCTCAACACTTGATTATAATTGTGATCCAATGGTTTACCCATTAATATTTCCTTTTGGTGACAGAGGTTGGCACAAAAATATTTTTAATTCCGGACGTTGAATTACATTGCTCCAATACTATGCATACCGTTTATCTATAAGAGACACAATACACTTTGGTTTTGATCAAATTTTACATGCAGGAAAACTCACACAACAATATATTGTTGATGCTTATGTAAAAGTTGAAAGCAATAATTTGAATTACTATCGCACTCATCAAAAACAATTGCGAGTTGAAATGTATACTGGTCTTATGGATTATGTTGCAAACCGTGCTACTAATGAAAATATAAATCCAGGCAAGATTGTTATTTTACCTTTAAGTTTTGGGGGTGGCCCTAGAGCAATGCAACAAAATTATCAAGATGTAATAGCTATAGTTACTCATTTTTCAAAGCCAGATCTTTTCATTACTTTTACATGCAATCCCAAATGGCCAGAAATTTCTAAAAACTTACATCCAAATGAAAATCCTGAGGATTATCCAGACTTGGTTTCGAGAGTATTTCATATCAAGCTTAAAGAATTTTTGAATGATATTACTAAAAAACATATTTTTGGAAATTGTATTGCTTTTATATATGTAATTGAATTTCAAAAGAGAGGCCTTCCACATTGTCACTTTTTAGGGATTTTATCTCATGAAAACAAGATTAAAGACCGTGATGCTATTGACCAATACATAACGGCACAATTGCTTGATCCTTAAAATGAACCTGAAATTTCTAAAATAATTACATCTCATATGATACATGGTCCTTGTGGGCCTCTTTACCCTAATAGTCTTTGCATGGAAAATGGCACTTGCTCAAAAGGTTATCCAAAAAAATTTAATTATGAAACTACTTTTAGTGTTGATAGATATCCAGATTATTATAGACTTGATAATGGCTATACATTTCTAAAAAATGGGTGTTATATTGATAATCGTTAGGTAGTGCCTTATAATAAATACCTTTGTAAAAAATATAATGCTCATATTAATATTGAAATTTGTGCTACTATAAAAAGTATTAAGTATTTATTTCAATATGTTTATAAAGGTTATGATTGTGCTACAATTGAAATCCATTCAGCAACCCAACAACCTGATAATATTTTAAATTGGGATGAAATCTCAACATTTTTAAATACACATTATGTATCTGTTCCAGAGGCAATATGGAGACTTTTTAAATTTAAAATGCATGGTCGTTCGACCCCTATAATACGTCTTCCTATCCATCTTTCAAATTTTCAAAACGTCTATTTTATAGAAGGTTATGAACAAATTGCACTTCAAAGAGCTACTCAAAATGGTACGATGTTGACAAAATGGTTTGAATTAAATATAAATGACCCAAATGCTAGACAATATACATATCCTGAAATCCTTTTATATTATACATTTAACCCTCATACTCATAACTGGCAAATTCGACATACAAGAAATGTCATTCCCCGAATGTATTCTGTGTCACCATCTAATGTTGAACTATATCATTTACGTCTTATTTTACTCCATAAAAAAGGTGCTACATCTTTCAAAGATCTTAAGACAGTTAATAATATTTATTATGACACATTTCAACAAGTTGCAAATGCAATGGGGCTTATAACTGATGATACCGAATGGGAAAAATGTTTAGAAGATGCTTGCTTTTTTAGAATGCCAACACAATTAAGACAATTATTTGTATTACTTTGTATCTTTTGCACTCCAAAAGATCCTTACCTCCTATGGGATAAATTTAAAGACTTCCTCTCTGAGGATTTCATGCAAACAAATTCAGTTTTTCATTATGAACATGCTTTACATGATATAAATATTAAAATGAAAATGCATGGCAAAACTAATCAAAACTATCATCTACCTATGCCATCTGAAAAATTTGATGATGAAAATATTGTCGACTCAACACAAATATATCAAAATGTTGAACAAAATATTCCTCAATTTAATCAAGAACAGTTAAATATTTTTAATGATATTCTTAATGTTATTGATCACCCAACTGAGCTTAATCGATACATTTTCATTGATGGCCCTGGTGGTACTGGTAAAACATTTCTTCTTAACACTTTTATAAATATTTTACAACTGAAAAAAATAAATGTTGTTAGCATGGCTTGGACAGGAATTGCAAGTACTTTACTTTATAATGGCCGAACTTCACATACTACTTTTAAACTTCCTGTTCCAATAAATGAAACATCAACTTCCGCTATAACTGTTAATAGTGAAGCAGGTATAAGAATCAAAACTACTAATATATTGTTATGGGATGAAATAAGTATGGTTCACACTCATGCATTCACTGCTGTTGATCGAGCGTTGCGAGACCTAAAAAATACATCATTACCTTTTGGTGGCATAATTGTTGTCACTAGTGGAGACTTTAGACAAACACTTCCAGTCATTCCACATGGACATAGGGCACAAATTGTTTCAAGTTCTGTAAGAATGAATAAATTATGGAGATTATTTAGAAAGTTATTTTTGAAAACAAATATACGGCTTGCTGAAAGTGATAAATCATGGTCTGAATGGCTTCTCAAAGTTGGAAATGGTGAGAATTTTGAAAATTTACCATCTTTACCTTCTAACTCCATTTTATTACCTCATACACAACTAATTTATTTGTCAATTATTGATTTTGTCTACCCTTCAATACTTGATATTTCAAACCCTTATATTGCAGCCAACCGAGTCATACTTACCCCACTTAACGATAATACATTTGCAATCAACAACACTATTGTCTCTAGATTACAAGGTGATACATACATCTACAAAAGCATTGATTTTGTTAACACTGAACATGCTGAAAATTTTCCAATAGAATTCCTAAATTCTATCACACCTTCTGGTCTCCTACCACATAAACTCTCTCTCAAACAAGGTGTTATTCTTATCCTCCTAAGAAATATGTCTCCATCAGTAGGATTATGTAACAGCACACGTCTCATCTTGAAAAATGCACTACCAAATGTTTTAGATTGTGAAATTGTGATGGGGCAATTTAAAGGGACAAGAGTTTTTATCCCACGTATCACATTAATACCATTAAATACAGAAATTCCATTCAAAATGTCCAGACGACAGTTTCCAATTCGTTTGGGTTACTGCTTAACAATCTCCAAATGCCAAGGACAAACATTTGACCGAGTTGGAATTTACTTGCCCCATCTAGTTTTCACTCATGGGCAACTTTATGTGGCTTTATCAAGATGCACATCACCACATGGACTTGAAATTAAAGTTCAAAACACCACACGCCAAGGCCACCTCCTTCTTCAAGATCTTTCTGTTTTTACAATCAACATTGTCTATAAAGAGGTTTTATATTGAACCTCTTTGTAAACCACCCAGCATTTGCTGGGCAAGTACTCGTTTTTTATAAGCATAAATATAATAGACGAGTATTTGCCCAGCAAATGCTGTGGTGCTGCTTACACACCGTGAGCAACCATGGAGCCCTAGGAGTGCATGGTGTAACATTTGTCACCACGCCCTCTTCTCTTCCCAGCCACACATGCATCCTGCCCATTCGCCACCACAACATTGAGCCAATATTCCCATTAACCATGGCCACAGGCCTTAGCCCGGGCCTGGGGTGGCCTCCCCTTTCTGAGGACCATGGCTTCCGAGGCTGCCCCGGGCCTGGGATCGGATGGCTGTGGGGGTCTGGGCTCTTCGTTCTTATTATTATAGATTAGTATAGATACACATAATGTGTATAGTTCCATCACTGGAAACAAATTGAGAGTGCTTTAAATAACAGTGTTATTAATCCTAGTCTAGCTACAACCAAGTTTTGGAAATCGATCGGGGATCAAGCTGTATCAGCCTTGAATCCCAGCTTCATAGCTCTAAACGTCGAGCCATCTGGGACGCAGCTGTTGTCCATCATCTCCACAAGAACGTCCCAGGCAGGCCCAACTTTGGCACCACCACACAGCACCTTGACCAGAGCATTGTAAGCCAGAGCATCGGGAGTGATTCCCATCCTCGGCATGTCTCTAAGGAGCTGCGTCGCCTCGTCCATCCTGTCCGCCATTGCCAAAGCTTGAATGAGGCTCGTGCAGCTCGGACAGTCGGGAACCACGCCGTTGTCAACCATCTCTGTGAAGACATCGATGGCCTCGTCTGCACGTCCCGCCTTTCCAAGCCCGTGGATCAAAGTCCGATACGAGACGATTGTCGGAACGATCCCGTCTCTCTCTCGCATCTCCCTGAGCACCAGCCGGGCATCCGCAGTCTGGCCCAGCTTGCAGAGCCCGAGCATGAGGATGTTATAAGTCACGATGCTCGGCTTCACCATCTTGCGCAGCATCGTGCTGTAAACGTTGATCGCCTCTCTCGCTCGGTTCACCCCCAGGAATCCATCCATGAGCGAGTTGTAGACGTGGCAGTTTGCTTCCAGTCCCGCTGCGTCCATGATCTCTACGACTTTGCACGCTGCTTGCATCTTGCCTTGCTTGCAGAAGTGGCTGACGATCATGCCGTAAGTACGAGTATCCGGGACACATCCCTGCCGGACCATGGCTTCAAACATCTCTTGTGCTTCATCGTTTCGTCTCACGTAAAACAGCCCATGGATGAGATTTGTGTAGCACCTTACATCCAGAGTCACTCCCTTCTTCACCATCTCGTCCTTCAAAGTCAAGGCCTCCTCGATCTTCCCTTCCAAAACATAGCCCCCGAAGATACAGTGAAGCACCTCCGCGGCACACATCTTTCCCATCTCACGAACAAGCTTTCCAGCTTCTTCCACTCGGCCGTTCTTGCAAAGACCACTGATGAAAGAAGTGTAAGTCACCTCCGTCGGCTTCATCCCCCTAGAGACGATCTCCTGGAGGAGCTTCCGTGCCTCGTCCATCATGCTCGCTTTGGACAATCCATCCACCAAGCTCGTGTAAACAATAATGTCTGGCTTCCACCCCTTGCGATTCATCTCCTGAAACACCTCACAAGCTCTGTTCAGCTTCCCAGCCTTGCAAAGCCCCGTGATGACGACCGTGAAAGTCCTTAGATCCGGGTCACACTTCCTCGCCACCATTCTCTCAAAGCAGGCAATTGCTTGATCGGGTCTGTGAGCTTTGAAGAGCGCGTTGATGATGGCAGTGTAAGCCACCACGCACTGGCTCCCGGAAGAGCTCATCTCCTCGAAGAGCTCGCAAGCTACATCGATCCTGCCCGAGTCTGCCAATCCCATGATCAAAGTCGTGTAAGAAACCACGTCTAAGTCCGACCTTGGAGACACCGAGTGGAAGTAACTTAGCGCTTGATCCACCTCCTTCCTCTCGCACAGAGCCTTGAGGATGATCCCGTGTGTGACTTGGCTCTTCTTGATGCCAAGAGCCTCCATCTCTTTAAGAAGCTCGTAAGCCCGCGAGAATCTCCCCGCCAGGCACAGCCCCCGGATCACAATGTTGTAGGACGCCACATCGAGCATGATCGCCTTCTTCTTCTTCGCGAGGGATAGCGATTCGTGCGCATCGTCCAGCCGCCCTCCGCGCACCAATGCCGAAAGAAGGGCATTGTATGTGAACCTGTCGTGGGCGAATCCCTGCTGGGTCGCTGCCCAGTCGAAGAATCTCTGTGCCAGGGCGCCGCATTTGACCCTGCCGAGGACGTCGCGGAAGGTATCCCTGGTGAGCCCCGGGAAACCGAAGCGCCGATCGAGCAGCGCGGCCACATTGGTACCTGGATTCGCCGCGGCGGCGTCGAGAATGGGGAGGAGAGCCCGGACGTGGTGGGGATTCGCAAAGGGAAGCTTGGTGCTGCTGGACGGCGATATTATGAGAGATCGCTTCTGGACAAGGAACAAGCTCCTCATAAACCCCAATATCAACCTAGGGTTTAGCGAAATTTGAGAATGTACTGCTGAGATCCACTTGATTCTTCCACATTTTCCTTCTCTCTTCCTTTTTTTTATCTTAGCTTTCACGTACTAACAAGGAATCCAATTAAGATAGCAAACACTGGGGATTTTTTCCTGGAATATAAGGTTTTACAAAAATCTACCTTTGTGTTTAATGTTAAGTGTGCAACTATAATATATAAGATGAAAAAAATAACAATAAAAATAATCATAACATAAAATTATACTTAAGGGTTAGAAGAAGATATTTAATTTGAAGTTTCATGTAAAATAATCAAATACTTTCCATAATGATAAATTAAAAATATATTAGTTTATTTTTGGCACAATTCTACAATTTAAAGATTATATAGATTTAGTAATTTGTGATCCAAGCTGTCAACTGTCAAAAGAACATTCTACAACTCTAATGGATGTCCTGGATATCACAAAGTGCAATCTTTAAAGCTTGAAATAGTTGTTGAGAAAGCTTCAGATTGTGCTCAAACTTACATCCTAATTGGGAAACCAATTTGAGCAAGTTGAAAAGCCCTGAGATCATTATATATGGAAGCTATAGAGTATGAGTTGATCGATAGTGTTATCACTAAGAACCTATGCCCACTATGCCCAAGAAAAAAATTGAGAGAATTTTTACAACTCCTCCAGAAAAACTTGGTATTAATTAATCTATTAGTAATTCAGAGAAGAACAATAAATAGAAGTGCTTTCATTTACTTCAGCATTACCTTTCAAAAGATTTCATTGTAGGGAATTTAAGGAACCAAAAGCTTCATAAGGTTCACTTCCACATCTAGAACAAAAGATAAGAAAATTTCAATTCAATTCAAGTGACTTTGAATTCTATCTAGGAAGGATACATGCACTCATTTGTTTTCCAGTTTTCAGTGGATCGTGGATTCAACTCACAATATAAATCGTCACAATGGAAACACTATATAAAAAAAAAGAGCTTTTTCTTTTCTTGTGTACTTATTAAAGATCCTAATATCATAGCCAAAGAGAAGCCCTCCACCATAGGCAAGGACAATATGGATGGTAATCTATTTTGAATCCATGCACAAACTTCTGTTCCTTTAAAAGAGAAGAAAAAATGTATTCATATTGTCATACATTTGGGTCCAAGGAGTTGAGAAGTTTTTCTTTCAAGCCTGAAAGACACAAAAATGGGAAAATAAAATTATGCACCTAAATTTACTTGGTGTTTAAATTTTTTATTAAATTATAAATATATTTATAATTTAATAGGACATATGAAGGTGTTTAAGAAATTTTATAAATTTTAAACATATTAAAGTTTATAAAAAGAATATACTAGAATATCTAAGCATATTCTAGGTATATCCATCATTACTACCAAAAATCAAAAGCCACATTATTACAAAATTACAGTAATATACTAAAATCAAAATGACACAAAATTTTATTATTAATAAATTCATAAAAATAAAATAATTTGTTTTATAATAAATATAAACTTAAAAAAGCTTATGGACAATACTAAGTATTAGGTTTTGGAATTATCTTACCATAAATATAATACTAATTTGTTTTTTAAATTTCATAAGACTAGTTCAAACATTTGTTAAGCTGTCATTAACTCAAGCTGATTTTCCCAATATCATTTTTGTATTTTAGTAGTTAAGAAATAAATAATATATTTATTTTAAATTTAATATTTAGCTTTAAAAGTAAATTAAAATTTCAATTTTAATTACCTTTTAAAAAATGAAGAATATAATTATCTTAGTTCATGTGTTATATTATGTTAGTATTATTAAATCACAAATAGATCATGGAGAAGAAAATGCAATGTCAGAAGAAAGTGCTAAACTAATTATATATGCAATGGAATTAATGATTAATAATACATCTTCTGATGAATTGCCAAAAGGTCAAAGTATGAATTTTGAATTTACATTACAAGATGAAATACATGGTCATTTAAATATTGTTACTGAAATGTGGATTTATGGTACAAAAGGAAAATCTTTTCCTTTATGTGTAGCTGATCAAGAAAATCCTGAATACGATCATGGAGATAATGTTAAAAGATATTTTACAACATTATTAAATTCCCATCGTAATACTATAAGAAGATTATGTGCATCATTTTTTACTATGGTACTTGAGTATTATGCAATTCAATATACTATTATAAATTACAAAAATCATAATCCCCAATTACTATTTCCTCAAGTAGATTCTTTAGGTGTTTGTAGAATTTATCTTACTACATTAGTAAGCATTATGCCATATTATTACCTGAGATCAACACAATTTTTAGTATCACCAAATCATAAAGCAATTTTATATTTACATATAAATTGTAAATTAGTGCTTTATGTATATAACATTGAGAAATGGTCTAAGAAAGGATATGAAAGTGATAGTAAGTGTCAATTAAGAATACAATTAGATGGAAATTTAGTATTTTACTCAGGAAATAAAAATGTTATTTGGTCTCCAAATACATACTGCAAATATAAAAATTGCATGATGAACACATTTTTATCCCTTCGAAGTAACTGTAACTTAGTATTATATAAATCTAATCAAAAAAGGTTTTCTAAATATCCAATGATTACACCAATGTGGTGGACAAATTTAAAATCTTGCTAACCATGACATGTCTAAATTTCTATTAAATAAAAAATCGTATAAAAAAATATAAATAATATTGATACACAACCGTTCAATCTATAGGGTACATTTCTATTACTATTAAACTTAGATGCTTTATTTAGTTATCAGCAAACTGTTAGGACGTTTTGGAGTGCAAGCAGTCTGTGTATATCGAGAGTCTCTTGGCACTAGTTGCCATTCATGAGTGTTACCTTCTAAATTTAGATTTTAATTTTCTTTTCAACTTTTCCTAGGCTCATGTTTTCCTTTCTAAAGCTAAACATGAGTTGTTTAACCTGTAATCTGGATTTTGAATACTTACAACCGCCAATGGATACGATATGTTTCCTCTGTGTGGCTGATGTGAAATCTTGTGCTTTTGATTATTTATATTGATTTCTCTTAACATAAATATTTTTTTCTGAACTTCAGGCAATCCATAATAATTATTTGAATTATTAATAACATATTCTATTGTTATTTTTCATAATTTATAGACAGTATCAACGATTTAATAATTGAAGAATGATGATATGTCAGCCTATCTTGAGGCACATATCTTTTGAAGAGGGAGAGAAAAACCAATTGTGAGAATAACAATACTGATCTCCTGCCATTATGATTATCTATATTTCTTGCTCTTTTAACATAAATATTTTTTTATAAACATCAGCAATCAATAACAATTATCTGAATTATTTATACATATTCTATTGTTATTTTTCATAATTTGTAGACAGTATCATCAACCTAATGATTGAAGAACAATGATATGTTAGCCTATCTTGAGGCACGTATCTTTTGAAGTGAGAGAGAAAAAAAATTATGAGAATAACAATATTGACCTCTTGCTCTCATAGCAGTAAGAAAAAATATCCAAAAGGATTTGCTGATAAATATTTTTCAATAATCATAAGCACATTCATGACAGAAGCCAAAATGAGAAAAAAAAGATGTGCAATCCAATCAAACAACCTTTAATTAGACTTGACATTCTTGTTTTCTAGAACCATAAGTGTTACATCCACTATATGATCTTGAGGGTGAGCACAGAGATGAAGACATCATTTCCAAAAGTGGTTTGTATTACTACAATATATGTAGTGGTGGTTCATGATTTAACATCATCATTCAACATCAAAAAGATGCTGTCAATATATAGCTCTAATCTTCATTCAAATTGCACTTTGTTTATATGTTGGTTGCTCAAAGATTAGGGCTATTGAATGAGGAACAAATGGTTGATGATGGTAATCAAATTGACATTCCTGCAATTAAATATCATAGTAAACAATAAAATTAATAACAATCTTGAGAAAGTATGAAATCTTTGACATCCTCATGAATGCGAAGGCAGAAATGTTCTTTGTAAATACCTAAATACTAAGAATATTCTGATACTCAGAATATTACCTCTCCTTGTATAAAGATAAATAGGGATTGGCATTTGCATGAGCATACAAACACAAGAACAAGAGAGGGTTGAGGCTAGAGCCTCAACAAGTGGTGACTCCATTGGAGATGAGAATTGATTTAAAACAAGAATCTGTAAGAACAAGAAAAACTATGCTAAGAACCAAGATCCTAGGGTTCAAAAGCGATGGTGAATCCATCCACACCTCCTAGGTCACGCCACACTCCTACTCGACCATTGGAAACTGAGAAATGGATTCCTAGGGTTCTACATATAGTTTAGGTCCAAAGCTCTCATAGAAGTGCTGTTCTTGGACCTCATACTGTGCCTCACCCTTATAGAAAGCTTTCTCAGCTTTATTACGAGCTAGATTCCTATACTGTAATCTCAGCAAGAGGGTTCACTTAACAACAGTAACCTATGCAAGTCTCTTCATTTTCTAATCTAAACTCTTCATTAAAAACTGTTTGTAAAAAACTAGACCACCAGCAATAGCAGAAAATCAAGAAGAATGATGCAGTCTTTGTTGCCACCACTCTCATTGCCACTTGCCACACCATCCATATTTTACAATGAGCAATGAAGCTGCCCCTCTTTGAGCTAGATGTAGGGATCTTAATGGATAACCACATAGCTGCATTCTTATCATATTGCTTCAACAACCATGTTCTACATGACCTTGGTAAGCTTGAAGTGTTTTCTCAATCCATGTGCGGCTGAGCATGATGCTAGGTGGTTGCATTGGAGCCAAAAGAGAAGTAGGACTTTAAGTCACTACTCACGTAGATTTTTTTAGGTTCTGGTAAGGTGCAAATGAATCACTCTTCAATTATACCACTTGATTCAAAGATTTTTGAAAGATTTTTGCTTGGATCAAAAGACCATAAAGGAGGAGGCAATTGGTGTCTTAGCTTAC